TCTGGTGGTAGTACCTCGTAAGGTATATATACGCTGAGCACATCTGGTTCAACTGCCACAGGTGTAGCACTCAGGTCCTTACGCTTTTCGGGCGTAATTGCCAGTCGACGTTCTGTCCTCTCCTGTAGGGCTTCAGTAGTGCCAGGAGAAACATGCTCGCGTAAGTGCTGTGCGTGTTTTCCTGATCCATACATTCGATCTACATGTTCATCAGTCATGCCTTTCATAAGGGCGGCTAGTTGATTCTTAAGATCAGTGTTTTCAGTAGTTAATTTACTTATGCGCGTTGGCTCAGTGGTCTCGGACGTAGATTCGGGTTTGCCACTTGAGTTTACCTCCTCTTCTGGTTCCGGTACAGGTACCTTCTGAGATTTGTCTTAGTCTCCTATAATTGGGCACTTTTCTTTCTGAGTTTCGTCAGAAGAATTGGTTGGGGCGTCTTGAGACGTGTCCCTTGTCTTACTTCTTGGCTTCGTAAATGCAAGCTTCAAAGTTGAGGCAATAGTTGGCCCTCGGGCTCTATCTGCAGGAGTAGTCTTCTTAATCGGAGTGGTTACGTCCTTATTCGAAGCATTGTCCTGACTATTATTGTCGGAGACAAATGCTACGGCTACGGTGCGGGTCAATGCATCGGCAGCAGCGGCGGTTGTTTCTGCGGCAGCAGTGCGGCTTCCCTCTCCATCTTTTTTACGTTCGGCCTTGCGTTTCTTTGCAGGCGTATTGTCTGTCTTTGTCATAATCTTAACTTATGACTTCAGTCTTATTCTCTTTAAGGAATGACTGTGCTTACTTGGTCATAACCTTAACTTACGACTACAAGCTAATCTCTTAAGAAATGATTTTGGTTAAGAAAACTTTTATGGTACTTAATTGCTACTACGTTTAAGCAGTCTAAGTAGTTAATACTTTTACTAACTTTAAAATGTGTAAATCTCGGTCTCTTAAGGCGATATTAACATCTTAGAGTAGTTAAACGTAATAAATTCTTTTAAAGCTCAGGTGAAATTAAAGTAGATAAACGTAATTAGTCTTTTAGTAGAGTTAGGTTTGCCTCGTGAAAACAGCTAATCTCTGAGGGATTGTGAAGCTGAGACATTGCTTATATATAATCCTCTCAGTACTGTTTTCGCCGAAGGGATTTTATTTAGTGTTTCGTTGTCGCTCTAATAGAAACTATGGTATGTTTCGTTGGGGCGAATCCGAGAGACTCATAAAATCCTATCTTTAGAAAGAAAAGAAAGAAAAAAAGAAAAAAAACTCTTGATGTCCATAGTTGTTGCATAAACCAATAACTTGCCACTTATCAAGATTACCGACTTAGCCTTCATCAGACTGGCACATCTGGTTGGCTGAACGGAGGATAAACTAAGCAACGCTAATAGTCCTTAGAAACCTGTTCGGTTGCGTAATGTGGAGGCCCGGCTTTTACACATGAACACTGACTTACACGCCAAATATTCTATCAGTGTGGACAAAGTACCCTAGGCAGATATTTAGGACCGGACGTGAGGACCGGACCAGGGAGAGGAATTTAGGACCGGACCACAGGACCGGACCTAGGGGATTATTTGAGGACCGGACCACAGGACTGGATCTAGGGGACTATTGGAAGACCGGACCAGAGGACCGGACCGATTAGTGGAATAGAGAATTTAATGAGATAAAAGTGATATCTCATACGAAACCATAGAGACGGATATTTTCACATAACCCGATGGTAGAGAAAGTCTCGTTCCACATAGGATCGTGATTAATAAATATAGCAGGCGCGCCATTCCCAATGGCACTTCTGACTGAGTTCACTTATTTCAGGCTTAACACTCTTTACTAAGTGTTACTCGGTTTTGACCACATCAGGCCCATCCGTCATCTTAGATATGATCCACTGGATGATAATCGTGTGCGAGTAGTGTAAGTTATACTCAGCACCAACAATAGTACGTATTGATGAGCTTCATTGCAGATCAATTCTAGTATATGATTCTAAGATAGTTCTAGGCGTGATAGATCTGACAACTATACAAATTAATACCGCCAGTCCAACGGAACGCATATCAGACCTACCCTGTACTGAATGTTTCCAACTACATAATTGTTGCATTTGTGTACGCAAACGACAAAAGCAAGGTGAAATTCGTTTTGCATTCAACAACAACAAATTCGAAGAGCCATGCCCAGATGGTCGTGGACACGAACAACCAGATAAGACACAATCAGCTAATCAATGACCTGGACTAGCTAATGACTTCCCACCTAGTACGAGTTCTATCACGAATACGCGGTACAGAGAGGAGAATTTGCAGTCTACGCCGAAAGACAATCAACATAGGCAACAGACTACAACATACGACACAAGGCGATGAAAGAGAAATGCACAAATACTAGGGATTGATGCAGTAGTACCCAAGGATTTGTGGAATCTTAAGATTGCCGGCCACGATCAAATTGGGATCAGGACAGAAAATTAGGGTCAGGGATCTTATAACTCAAGTAGTCTTAGCAATCCTCCGCTATCCTTTCTTAATCAACTATGTTAAAGGCTGAGGATTGCAAGCTACTATACACCCTATTTATACCTTTTTCGACAGACCCGTAGCGGTCTAAAGGTCTGAACTATGCCTAAATGTCTACGTAATGTCTACGAACTTTAAGCTCTATTACCTATTCGCGCTACGTGTCGTCGTTTCGCAAGAGTCATATGGTGATGACTCATCAAGATTCATTGACATTGTGCACTGAATTTCGAGAATGGTCCCAGAGTCCTAGAGTCCCAGAGTCCCAGACCCAAAAACAATCCAAAATTTGGATTCCCTCCGAATCTCGAATTTTCCCGATTAGGAGTTGCCCACTCCTACATTTTTATTTTTGAAAAGAAACATATATATATGTATGTATTTATTCTCTATATGTGTTTTTCTATAAACAATATAAGGCGCCCCAGCCGGCCAGTCCCATGAGGCCAGGAGTACTAAACTAATCTAAAGTCCCTGCCCCAGCAGGATGGACTTAATAAACGTGATGACACACTACTATTACTGAAGCTCGTATCGAGCATGTCAATAATAATGCTAAGTATTAGCGTTCAACTATATATACACGATACAGTATCATATGTCCCTCATTTAGGTTTCCATAGGAGTGACCTATTTTAATACTGACAATTTCAAAGGGAGAAAGTTTTGTTGTTCTATATATAGCTTTCGCAAGTGGTTAAAAGTTATATTTTGTGGGTCGCCGAGGCGGCATGTAGCCCTGTGATGAAGTTGATTCACTGACCCAGGAGCACGCAAACTAATTTATTTGATATTCGTCCAACACATCCTATATATGAAGAATTGATCTTTGAAGGCCTGCAACACGCTGCGGACGAAGTAGAACACTTTGTACGTGTTTCCGCGGCACCCTCTACCCTTCTTCCGTGGCCACTATTTACAAGATCAATGAACTCCACACGAATGTCCTTGATTGAGTACTCCAAATGATTATCACGACACGGTCCAGGTTTCCTAGAGATTGTGCCCCTTTCGTCGGCCGACAAGCTTCGCCGACGATCTGCAGCTCGTCTTGACAACCGTACTAATAATTTGCAGACCAGCGTGCATCAGGCCCCAACGGTGGGCTGTCAGTCACCGACAGCGACAGAATGCAAGCATTTTGGTAGCCTGTTGGTAGCCCAAGCCTCGGCTTCTGCTTTATCTTTATCGTCGGCACTAGCAGAGAAACCGGAAGTAGAGAAAAGAGAGTTCACGGCATGTTTCAACTGTTGCAAACAAGGCCCCAGTGCTAAGGATTGCCCGTATATCAGGAGAAAGACCTCTGTGGCTGCCTCAACACACAACATTACCTGAGAATGCGACAAGCCTGGCTTTTGGCATGAATCGATGTTCCAAGGTGAAGTACAGGGTTGTAGTGTACATGGATGTCAGTACAAATAAACTGAGGCTTAATTGTACATCTTAAATGAGACAATGTATTAATGGTATTGAAGGTATGGGCACTATTATCTCTACTTTGCAAGTACGATTAACCGCTGATGTCGATAATTTCGACGGCTTCGTTTCTACCGACAAACAAACATGGTTAATTGTTGATGAACAACCCTACCAAACCCACCTGCTCATTGGATACGACACACAGAGCGCATCTCTACGTTGGGCAGTAGTCTTTGGTATGATCAACTGTGTGTTCTATCATCCCATGCATGAAACCAAGGCGTCGTTGCTCATGTGATGTTCATTGCTGCCACTCTGACGGCCCGTACGCTCCCTTGACCGCGACAAAGCGTCGTACAGGAGGCACTGAGCAGCGCGTTGAAGCAACACGGGGCGGCCCAACTCTGCGTCCACAGCAATCTGGTGTGGTGCCGCATTTCCCACTCAACTCGGCATGGTTGTTCGCCCGCCAATTATATTGACACAAGCAGTGCACATGATCTCAGTGTAGTTGCTAGAGCAGCCTGTCGCGGGTAGCACAGAGCCTCAGCAACCGAAGTCGTCTCGCAGACCCGGCACTGTTCCGATGATGTCAGCGGTTACGAGGTTCGCTTGCATGCAGCAGACCTCCGATATCAGGTATGTATTTTCCCATGTCCGGCCAGACATCTTTCACAACATTGATGTGATGCCGGCTGGAGAGGATGTATGTGTGCCTGACAACGATTCATGTGTTACGATTCAGACGACGGAGAAGGTTTTGGTGTTGTAGATTGGAATCTTGGCACGGCAGTCAATAAGACACCGCAGGACGTCGATTAATCTATTAATCTTTTATACGGTGTGCTTACGACTCTGAGAACCAACCGCTTTGCAAAATACACCACTTGAAATCACTTTTAAAGAGAACACTTAACCAAAGCGCTGCGGCCACAAGCTGTACCACCAACCTTGAAATTCCGGACACTTCACGTACAGCTTCGACGATGGAGTGGAATTGCGGCCACTGGAGGGCCTGCCCCCGTTAAGTGTGAGGCCACCACGTCCAACATCACCGCCACCTCACAATCACAAGCCGACTGTCAACATGACAAGGTCGCGGCTATGGTCGGCGACGCTCCTCACACTTAACCAGGGCAGGCCCTCCAGTGGCCACATGTCCACTCCATCGTCGAAGCTGTACGTGAAGTGTACATGCATGCAGGCGCACCTAAGGTGGAGCGCACCGTATCCCCCCTTCGGTCACATGCATGCAGGTTTGACAGACGTACCTGAAGTTCCTGACGGCATCGGTCTCATTCTCCTCGCCGTGTGCTAGACCACTGGGACGATCTTTGTCCGCCCCATGCGGCCCAAGTCCGGCTCCGCATGTATCAGTTTTGTGGGCAAGCAGATCTTTCCGTGGGGTTTCCCCGCTAAATTTACCGCTTACAAATACTCCGTCTTCAACTCGACAGCATTCACCGACTTCAGCGCTGACGAGAGAATTCTTCCCCACTTCGTCACCGTTGAGCGCCATCAAGGACAGGGCCGTGCAGAAGTCATGATTTAAATCATGAAATCCTGGATATACAAATCCAAGATGCCGACTGACCCAAGTCTCATGGGTGAGATTGGCCAAAGCTACAACGCACTCGTTTTTACCGTCACTGACGAGACTCCCCGCATCAAAGCCACCGGCCCTCCATATCTGGACCCGCAGCTTTCCATGCTCGAGGACAGGGCCGCCCTTATGCTCGAGTCGAAAGTTGGGGCGGTGGATATGGTTGCCCTTGACCTGAGCAAGGCCATAACACGCCACGTCCAGTCTTCACAGAAGGCTACAGCCGATAAATGCGCCTTGATGTTCCGATGTCCTCCAGGCTGCCCGGTTTGGGAAGGCCCTTTTGCCGTGACTGCTGTGAATGATTATCGCCGCCACACTATCCGTGATGATCTTGTCGGTAAAGGGCTTGTACACCACAGAGCGCAACTCTAGAAATATTATCTCCACGTCATCGCAGGTCATCACGAGATCACCATCAAGCCCAAGGGAGTCTTTGGTCAATGGCTCTTTCGCGAGTCACCTTGAAAGCAGCATGTCCGGTCACACTCGCGCCCAGTCGCTTGTATCACATCAAGAGTGCACTCAACGTTACATTACCACCGACCCCCTTGCTCGAGCTAAGAAGCTCGGCGAGTAGCGTGATTCCCATCATAGCCTCCGGTATATCTACCTTGCTGGATGTTTATTCTGCCATCGTGCGGCTCTCAAGTCTTCCTTCCTTTTGGGACGTGTGTATCTACACCTTCTCTTCACTTCGACTACTGCCACTATGTTGTTGCCATGACATCTGTGTGTGTACTTTATTTGCGTGTCTATTTACCGCTCACTCACTCTTCCCTTCTCAGGGGTGTAGATGCTGTTGCTTCTCACCTCTCGTCCGTATGACCCATGCGTGCTAGTAGGCTCTCTTCTAACTACGCCTCATACACTCTTCACCAACCGCACTCTGGCCGTCATCACATTTTGCGCGCCGTCTGTACGCTCTGTCGCGCTTGCACATCTCGTGCGCCACTGACCGTATGTTTTCCTCACTGTTGCATCTCTTCTATCTGGTCCTTATTACCCCTACCGTTTCCCCCCAGGTGGTGCCATCAACCCTTGAGCTTCTCTGGTGGTGCTCTAGTACCCTTCTCTACGTCACCCTCCCTCACTCCTTAGTGCAGTGCCGCCATAGCCTTTCTACCCTGCCTGCTCCCCTAGCATCATCTATTCAGGCTGCTCCTGCATCGTTCTCTATTGCGATGGGTGATCCAGCTTCTTCATCGACCATCCCTGTGTGTTCTCCGCAACCCTAAGCACTTATTTGTACCAACTCATCACTAATACGCCCATTCTTGGCGACCTCCTGACCCAGACCTCCTTAACTGTCGGCGTCTACGTCCTCTTCGAGATCTTTATCTTTCGATAACGGCAGTTGGGGCGTGTAAGGCGCCCCAAATACAGAAGTACCGAACTAATCTCAAGTCCCTGCACCAGCAGGATGGACTTGATAAAAGTTATGTCACACTTTACTGAACCTTCTATCCATCATGTCAATAATAGTGTTAAACATTAGCGTTCAGCTATATATACACGACACAGTATCATTGTCCCTTCTTTTGGTTTTAATAGGAGTGGCCTATGACATACTGACATATCCAAAGCGAGAAGGTTTTGTTGTTCTATATTTATTTCTCGCAACCTACATAGAACCAAATATAGTACACACGTACATATGTCTGTATGAAATATTCCTTGAACCCCACAGGCCCACACTGGTGAGTTGGGATAATGCATTGGCTCGAATTTTTCCGTATCGAAGTTGTAGAAAAGAATGAAGAAAAAAATGGTTGAGCATCTGGATATAGGAGCCAATATATCACCTTTGTTTGCCCCTACTACCCCAATGTAGAATATATTAGGCCAAAA